GAAGACAAGGTGCACAAAGACAGATGGACCAGGAGGGACAGTGCTTCCAGCAGTAACCTAAATACTCATCAACAGGGACTGGTTCAAATATGGAACATGCACGTGATGGAATACTGCCCAGTCAGTAAAAGGAGTGAGGCAGCACAAGGTGCGATACATGCTCCCCCCTGTGAAGAATAAAAGAGTAATCTATCTGTATGAAAATGCATAGAATAATCCAGAAAGAAGCAAGGAAGCATTGCAGTTGACTCTGTGGAGGGATAACTAAGGAATTTACATGGATATAATATGCTTTGTTTAACCTGTTCCTTATGTTGTTAACTAATATTTTACGTAAATTATGTGCACATAAGTTTGTATGATGGAAGTCAAAGCCAAATTTAGCTTTCTCTGCAATATTTTAACTTCTTTACAGGGAAAATGGATTCATGGTTACGTACGTAATTAAAAACTCAATCTTTAATGCTAGTATAACGGCTAAAACAAATAAACCATAAGTGACTCGGAGATGATGGGCATCCAAGCCCATTATTACTCCAGGTTGGAGGGAGGGTGATGGGCAGGTAGGGGGCGTGGCCTTGGGAAGGTCACCTGTGTGCTGCTGCTGGAGTCGCTCTGCAGGCGGATGTTCTGGTGGCCAGAACTGCAGCTCTGGGAGGACTGAGAGAAAAGAGGCAGGAGGGAGCCTGGGTGAGGCCGCAGCCTCCCGGCTCAGAGCCCCTGCACTGAGCTCAGGAGGGGTTGCTGGGGCGGGAGTCAGAAGTCTAGTTTCATTTCTATTCCTGACTTCAGGAGGCCCCCTCTCAAGGCCTCAGGTTCCTATCTATGAAATGAAAGGGGTGGGGGTCTCATTGTCTGCTCCCTGGAGCCTCTTCAGAGGCCACTCCACCAGCCCCTGGGCCTCCACCTCCCACCCCTGCAAGCAGGAAACCCCATCTTTCACTGTTCTCTACTTGAGACTTCTGGCTAACATTTTAGTTAGACACAGAGTAACTTGTATGAATGGCCTGATTTTTTTACTCCCTCTCTGTATTTGTGCTTTTTGCCCTAGAACTTCTACTTCCTGCCTACTCTGATGCTAGGCTTGGCCGTGTGACCTGCTTTGGCCAATGGGATGTTAGCAAAGTCACCAGGGCAGAGCCTGAAAAAGAGCTTGTGTATGTCTCTCTTTATAATCTGCGTTCACTGAGAGAAAATACCAGGTAACCAGCTGAAGGGTAAGACGTGGAGCGCAACTGAGTCAGTCCGGGCAGGTGAGAGCACTCTGTGAAGGTCAACAAAACTTTTAGTTGACCTTCAGAGTTCAGAACTGCCTTGTTGACACACAGACTCACGAGAAAAAGGAAATGTGTGTTGTTGGAAACCACTGACTTTTGAGGATTGCTTGTTACGCAGTATTAGTGTAGCAAAATGATAGCTGATACATCACTAGTGAAGAGAATTAACTTTTTTTTCAGCTCCTGCTTTGGGCCACTAAACTGGAGACTCTATGAGAACAGATATGTCTGACTTGGTCACTGAAGTATTCCTGATATCTCAGAACATTCCTGACAGTACCTGGCATACGGTAGGCACTCAATAAGCATTTGTTGAATAAATGGAAGTCTAGCACTGTGGTAGGTGCTTTATGTACACTACTCATTGAAGCGGCACACAAACCTCCCCTCTAAATGATTATTTCCCTTTGACAGGTGAGGAAACTGAGGCCCAGAAGTATGGGTGCTTGCCTGAAGCACCAGGGCTAGAAAATGGGCTAGAGTTCAAACTTAGGTCTGTCAAACTACAAAGTCTCCTTCCACCCAAAAACCAGGGGTGAGGCTCTGTCCCCAGGCCCCCAGCCCTCACCATTCCTACCATAGCCTGATGGAGAGGATCCTGGCTTTCACACCCCACCCTCCACTCCCTCAGGTGAGCCGCCCATCACCTCGTTGCTGATGGTGGAGTCCCTGTGCATCATCCGGTGCAGGGGACCATCCAGGCTGGCCCCTGATGAGCATTTGGCCAGGGCGGCTGCGTGGGACTCCCGCTCCCTCTGCCGCACAATTGCCTCGCAGCCCAGCCATTCGGACATGGTCTGTGCATAGCAGGCATGAATCTGCTCGTCCACCTGCAGGGCAGATGCAAGGTCACCAGAAGTGCTGGGACCCTGAGCCCTGGCAGCACCCATCTAACATTCATGGCATAACATTCAACCCACATTAACTGAGCACCTACTATGTGCCAGGAAGGCGAGGTGGAAGGTAATAAAGAAGGGTGTGAATCCACAATTATCTCAAAATGAAAGTTTATTTTTAAAAAATGACATCCATGGCTTGTGCTGTATTTCTGTTGGAGAGCGCTGCCCTTGAGCTTCCTGGCTCCCCCCAGCTCCCTGCCCCACCTTGGTCCAAAATGGGACCAGAGCTCCCCCAGCCTCACAGTACCTGGCTCCTTCGGTTGCCAAAGACCCAGTGCCCTTCAGGGTAACCAACCTCCTTCCTTTCCGCTTCTGTCATCCCGAACTGGTAGTGGCCCAGCAGGAAGGGCCACACGGCCTTGCGGATCTCGGGCTGGATGCCCCCGTAGTAGATAAGGCGCAGCAGCTCCTGCTCCTCGTAACTCTGTGGTGGGGGGACAGGGGAGAGCAAAGGGTTTGTTTGGTCAACAGAAAGCCAGGGGCAGACTCTGTGATCCAGCAGTTCTTCTTTTCAGCCCTAGCCCTTAGGAACCCTGGCATGAATGAGCAAAGCCATAGGCACCCAATATCCACTACAATGTGACATGAAAGAGCAAAGCCCTGGGAACCCCCCAACTGCCCACCAACGGGAGAACAGTAACCCCCGACATGGGAATACCACACAGAGAGTAGAAAGGTGCATCTATGAGAACCTACACAAAATGATGTTCAATGTGTACTGTTAGTGGAAAAAAACAAGATGCAGATCATGTCTAGTATGAACTCATTTTTGTTAAAGAAAAAAGGAAAAGCCCTAACTGGTTTGGCTCAGTGGATAGAGCATTGGCCTTCGGACTGAAAGGTCCCAGGTTCGATTCCGGCCAGTGGCATGTACCTTGGTTGCGGGCACATCCCCAGTAGGAGGTGTGCAAGAGGCAGCTGATCGATGTTTCTCTCTCATCGATGTTTCTAACTCTCTATCCCTCTCCCTTCCTCTCTGTGAAGATTCAATAAAATATATTTAAAAGAAAAAAGGAAAAGCCAGGGTATAAGGAACTTATATTTCTACTTAATTTTCAATCAAATTTGTATACTTGCTTATTTGGGAATATTATCTTGGAGTTTTTCATCTCAACTAAGCTCTAAGAAAATTGTTTTAAAGCAAATTAATCCGCAGTGAACATTAGTAGCTGGTTCTGTATACACTAATGATTTAGGGGCACACTAGGGTGACTTTAACAGCTGTCTCCCTCTAACTTAGCTCCTCTCATCATTCTAAGTAGATTCGACCGTATTATGAATTCCTGCTCACTGGGGACTCATAGCACCTCATGCAGGACTGAGCATACAGCTGGTGCTTAATAAATGCGTAACCACTGATGGATTCTTACTCCTTCCAGGAAAGCATGTGTATTTTCCATCCTCCCTGATCCTCACCCCAATGGGCAGAAGCAGGCTATGGGTCTTGGAACTCTTGAGTTTGGGTATGCGGAACCCAAAGATATCACAACATCCTTGAGTCCCCGCAGGCAGATAGGTCTATTCCTTAGATTGCAAGATGCCCCCCACCCGCTGCAGTCCCACCACAGGCCGAGCCAGGCCAAGCCTTACTGTGCTGTCCTGAAGGTACTGCTCCCAGATCCCGGCCGTCAGCCCGTGTCCAGCATCGCAGGGCAAGTCTGGAGACACAATCATGTGATTGACCAGGGCTGACAGGTGGGTCCTCACGGTGGACAGGTGTCTGCAGTAGGCAAGCCCTGTGCGGGGAGATAGAGAAGGGTCATCATCCACCATCCGACCCTCCTTGCCTCTTCTCAGAGTCTCCAAAATGCTGCCCATAAACTTCCTGAACCCTCATGACCCAACGAGTTCTCATCACCCCCTTTTCCAGGTAAGGAGCTTAGGCTCAGAGGGGGAAGTCACTTGTGGGCTTGACTGCTTAACTGCTCTGTGACCGTGGGGAGGTCCTATCACCTTTCTCAACCTTGGTCAGGGTGATACCACCTCCGCTAGAATCCAAGGTATTTAACTCACAGGCTGGAAGCAGAGTAGGGGTGGGCTCCCTGTGCCTCTGGGTGCCTCCAATCCACACACAGAGAGAAAGAGAGTGGGAGAAAACGTGGAGCTGGATAAACAAGGTCCCAGTGAGTCATAACCAAGAGGATGCTGAGGGCACTGGTTTGCTTTCAAAGATGGCCCTGCACTCTAAACAGAATGCCTGCCAACCTTCACCAACCATCCTGGGCACCTGGAGGGCACGGTGCCTGGAACACGAGGCACTTGGCAAATACTGGCTTGTGCTGTTTTTGACTGCATACCCTTCTTCTGGATCTCCCCCACCATCTCATCCTTAACTCCCAGAGAGGACCCTGGACCTTCCTGAGCCTGAGGACTC